GAATCTTTTTTTCTTCTAAATAAACTTCGTGAAATAATTTAGTTATCCCGTAATATTCGCAGGCTTATTGGGTAATCTATATAGTGGAAGGTGATCTGTCGTCCATGTTAGTATGCAGTTCAAGTATACCAACTCATTTTTTTGGTGCTAAAATACTTTTACTCCTTCCTCGTGACAGTAGGAATTTCTAATCTTTCATTAATCTATGTCATTAAACTATTTTTTAGTTAAAAAACTAGCCTTACTATAGATTTGTTAACCTGAGGGCAGTTAACCTTTGATATGTTCATTTACTGTTGATCTCTTTCTATTGAATTCCTTATCTAACCTGTCTTTTTATATTGACTGAAGGATACTTTTACACATTTTATTTATTTTCTGCATCGAGTCTTTGTTGAACTCGGGAGCATGGATTCACTGGATGATTATCTTTTTCGTCATAACCGATCTCACTGTTTAATAAATTTCGAAAGTTTTCTGTGTACCTCTTTGAAAAACCAGCACAATCTAAACTTTGTAGAACGAATTTCCTTAGTTTGCTTTATATATTTAAGATTTATTCATTGTCTTCTTTATTTTATATTTTCTTATGCATGACATGCTTTCCTCAGTGGTGACAATCAGCGTCTCGAGTTCCTCGGCGATTCGCTTCTCAAGTTCGCCTCCACAGACTATCTCTTCCGCCACTTCCCGAGACACCACGAGGGGCATTTATCACTTTTGAAGAACTCTTTGGTAAATAAATACACCCAGGCTGCTGTCTGTACTGAGCTTGGCCTTGATCATTACATCGTTCGTCGTGAAGACAACGCCTCAACTCGTCCTCCGGTGGCGACTACCGTCAGTCGGAAGTCACCGGGCCCTCAGTCTGTGTCAATCCCCTTAACGCATGAAAGCGAGGCGATGCCAGCCGTCACACCCATACCATATGAGCTTGCCTCCAGCAAGATGGAGCATGCAACCAAGCCGGCTCCGTCAGCTGCTCAGCAGAATCAAAATGTCAAATTCCGTGCTGACCTTTTGGAAGGTTAGCATTTTAGAACACTCTGATTTCTACAGACATTCTACTTTTATCAGATGCATTCATCCTATTTAGCTTGAGGTGCTTAAGGACTTGTAGTTGAATTTTCCAACAATAATATGAATAGAGCTGGTTTTTCCATTTAATTTCACACAGCATTGCTTTCCCAGAAGACGTTCTTATCCAGGATGGACTGCAGTTTCAACTTCACCCAGGTCTCATGAGCACCCCATGCGGGACTTGAACCATGACAGTTCAGCGTACAATCTCGACAGGTTAACTGCTACGCCACATTATCATGAGTGACTTTGGGCCACAGATCAGATGTTACTTTTAAGAAAGGCCAAGAATTTTTCCATATCACATTCTGTATTTGGATTGCCGATGGAGCAAACTTATATTTGCCATGGCAATCGATGACATTACTTATTTTTCATTTGTGGTCATGTGGCGTAATCGTTAACGTGTCGAGATCACATGCTGCACTGCCATGGTTCGACTCCCGCTGGGGGTGTTGATTAGAACTAGGCCAGGTCGAAACTTCAGTCCACTTCGGCCTGGATGAGAACAACTTTTGATAACT